AGCAAACTGGATCTAATTGGAGCGTACCAATTGTTGAGGGTGACAGAAGGACATGAACACCTGACTGCGTTCAGGACACAGTATGGTATGTTTGAATCTCTTGTTGTTCGTGACGGGCTGCGAAACGCCCCGGCTGTCTTCCAACACTTCCTGAACGAGGTGTTTAGAGAACTACTAGGGAATGGAGTCGTGGTCTACATTGACGATATCCTCATTTATGGGAATACATTGGAGGAATTACGAGGAACTACGGCGAAGGTCTTTGAAGTGCTGCGGAAGGCGAGCTTGTATGTGAAAGCTAGTAAGTGCAAGTTTGAAAGAGATTCGGTGGTGTTTCTGGGTTTTGTGGTCTCTTCTCGAGGTGTATCGGTTAATCCAGAGTACATTGACGCCATCACATCCTTGCCACGTCCAAAGAATCTACGAGAGTTGAGGGGTTTCATTGGAGTCGTGAGCAATTACAGGCATTTTGTCTCCAACTTCTTGAAGATTGCTAGACCTATCAATGACTTGACAAGGAAGGAGGTACCGTTTGTGTGGGGAGCAGAACAGGAGTCAGCCTTTAAGGAATTGAAGGCTAGGATGTGTACTGCGCCGGTGTTAGCTCACTTTGACCCTACATTGAAGACCATATTACAGACAGATGCCTCGTTTTTCGGTTGGGGTTTCATAATTTCGCAGGTCAATACAGCTGGTCAAGAACACCCGGTAGCTATTGAGTCTGGCACCTTCAATACGGCTCAGCTGAATTATACGGTAGGAGAGAAGGAGTTCCTTGCTGTAGTGGAGGGTTTTAGGAGAAGGAGACACTTACTATTGCAGGTAGAAACCACAGTCCTTACCAACCATTTAAACCTCACCTACTGGATGGAACCGAAACAACTCAGTCCACGTCAAGGTAGGTGGGTAGAGGAACTAGCTAACTTCAGGTTTGAGATGGTTTACCGACCAGGAACATGGGCAAGTCTTCCAGATGGACTGTCTAGACGGGCGGACTACCACTCTGGAAAGGGAAGTACCATGGTACAAGAGAGTAACCTTATTCAAGGCCTACCGAAGTTCGACGAAGTTGACACCACCACGTCGGAGTTGCGTCACCTACTCAGAGCATTGCAAGGAACAAGAGAAGTGAAAGAGAGTGACCTTGTTGACCCTATGGACTTGATACTTGGAATTCAGGAGGACAAAGACGTAGAGGAGGTTAGAGAGGAATTATTAGGAGTCATTTGCGCTGAGTGTTCTCATCCAACGTGTCATGATGACGTGCAGGAACCAGAATCAATCACTGAACTACGTCGTAGTTCGCTATCTCCTCTAATACTTCGTGGTGGATGGACCCCGAGAGGTTTCCTCGCGTTCGACGATCGCACTTATGTGCCGAACTACGCCGGCGCTCGACTAAAGATCATGAGGATGCGACGTGACTTGGCCTTGGCTGGTCACCCAGGTTCGGCAAAGACCCTTGAACTGATCCTAAGGGATTATGTTTGGGTTCGAGTAAGAAAGGATGTTGAAGACTACATCGCTGGTTGTGTGGTGTGTCAGAGGGCGAAGACTAACAGACAGAGACCTCATGGGGAGCTTAAACCATTGCAAGTAGCTATCAAACCGTGGTCAAGCATCTCGATGGATTTCATCGAAGAGCTTCCAAATTCCAATGGGTATAACTCAATCTTGGTGGTGGTGGATCGATTGACCATTTGGGCCATCTTTATCCCAACTACGACGAAGTTGACCGCAGCTGGGCTATCAGAGCTGATAATGGACTATGTGGTAGCTCAGCACGGGTTACCGGAAAGCATAGTGTCAGACAGTGGATCAAAGTTCACTTTGAAGTTTTGATAGAACTTAACCGATAGTCTCGGGATAAGACTACATCTCTCCACTGCGTATCATCCACAGACTGATGGACAGACAGAGAGAACCAATCAATCCCTGGAATTGTATCTTCAAATCTTCACTTCCTATCAGCAGAATGACTGGTCAAAGCTACTTGCTCGAGCCAGCTTTGCTTATAACAACACCCATCACTCTGCGACAAACAAGACCCCATTCTATGCGAACTATGGGTACCACCCTCGGTGGGCTGAAGAGATTAAGGCTAGTGAAGTCGAAGTACCTGCTGCTACAATAGCAGTAAAAGACCTAACCGAAATACATAAGGAATGTATTGAGGGGATAGAGAAAGCTAATGAGAAGTACGCCAAAGGATACAATAAGAAACACCGAACTACGCCGAACTTCGTGGAAGGTGACCTAGTGATGCTGTCATTAGAGAACATTAAGACTAAGAGACCGATGAAGAAGTTAGATGTGAAACAAAGTGGGCCGTACAAGGTGGTACGGCAGGTAGGTTCTCATGCTTGTAAATTGGAATTGCCAGGAATGATGGCAGGTATCCATGATGTATTCCATGTCTCCTTGCTCCGTCCCTATCACCCTCCAGTATTTCCGGGTCAGCAAGCTGAACCACCTGGCCCAGTGGAGGTAGATAACGTAGGAGAGTCTTGGGAAGTAAAGGATATTGTGGACTCGAGGGTTAATAAGAGGTCAGGAAAGTTGGAGTATCTAGTGGAATGGTTAGGCTACGAAGGCTCTGATGACGCAGTATCATGGGAACCAGTAGAGAATGTGGACGGAGCTGATGACATATTGGCGAAGTTCCAGGAACTTCACCCTAATAAGCCGAGGAAAGGACGAGTGGGGAGATCACGGGCAAGGAAGTAGTTCATACAACGGGTACAACATTAGCTAAGTACAACTCACTGCTGCGAACTTCCTCCTTGTTCCCCCTTCCCCGGTGCAGGACCACCTCCAGAACTATTCTCCGTAACCTTTGCTGGTGCTATCCGTCGAAGTGACCGAGTTTCCCTCCATGCCGTGTTAAATGCCAGAATGTGAGCAGTGTGGAGAGCAGGATCACGAGCGAGGTTCAGACTAGGTAACTTCCACAACTGACGAAGTGTTCTGAGACAGTCTGGGGGAAGAGTCAGGATATCAAGGAAAGCACCATCCTGAGAACTGAGTCGAGCTGGTTGAGATGGTTTTAACCAGTCCAGTGTGGGGGGGAGAATATATTCGGTAGGGTTCAGGAGGAAGGGAGAGTCGAAGAGATTGCGGTAGAAGTCGTTCATATCCGTTGTGAGCTCCCGGGAGACTCTAGCTAACTCCGTCCGCACTGATGGGCCTATATCGGAGGAGTTCACAAGGGTGGCCATTGTCCGGGAGAGAGTATTCATTGCGGAGACTAACTTCATGCAATATTCGACGAGCTTTGCCGTATCTCGTCGATTGGCTTGTAATTGCGTGGTCAAGCCAAAGATGACGGAGCGGAAGGTAGCCAGTTGTTTCTCCTCCTCAGGTATCCGAGGGTCGAAGGCAATGGTGGGGTGGTTGAGGGAAGGAGGGATTTCCTCTGGTAGCTGAGTACTTTCGTTTTCCACCACTGCCGGCTCAAATTGGACGGCCTTCTTCTTACCCTTCCCTTTTGAAGATTTCGAAGGAGGGGTTTTCACAGGAGGAGCAGGAGTTGAGAGCCCAGTAGCGGGAGGGACAGAGGGTTGACAGCTTCGGGTCCCAAGGGCAGGAGGGAGACTTAGAGGGGAATCCTCTTGAGTTGAGACAGGAGTAGGACGGCTCCTGGTGGGACGAGACGGACTGACAGAAGGAGTAGCCGGGAGACGAGATGGGCCAGCCACAGGAGTTGAGGGCTGGAGGGGGGCAGAAGGGGCACGACGAGGTGCGCGACGAGACGAACCTGCCAAAGGAGTGGC